TTGCACCTCAGACTGTCCAGGAGCTCAGTGATGCCCTGGTTCAGATCTGGGAGGAGATCCCCCAGGACACCATCCGTCGTCTCATTAGGAGCATACCCCGACATTATCAGACATGCCTACAAGCACATGGGGGCCATACAAACTACTGAGTACGATATTGAGTTGCTGCAATGAAATTTCGGCAAAATGGACCAGCCTACCGGATCATTTTTTCACTTTGATTTTTGGGGTGTCTTTGAATTCAGCCCTCTGTAGGTTTATCATTTTCATTTCCATCAAACGATGTGGCATCCTTTCATTCCTAACACATTGCCCAGTCCATATCAGTATAGATATACAGCATGATTTTTTCCCCCATTGAGATCTGATGTGTTTTCAAAGCGTTCCTTTAATTTTTTTGAGCAGTGTATAACTAAACGTGATGTGCTCATTAACCCCAAATGTTTATTTACAGGCATGCCTTTTTCCTCGACCAAATTTAAATATTGGTGGGACACGCCCCCAACCCCCCCCCCCCCTTTCTTTCTGTATGTTCTACAGTGTGTAATTAGTAGCAAATATATTATTTATTGTACATTTTATCTTTTCGTCAATCAATCTATGACTCAACTATTTACCCATTTGAGCGTGCAGTAAAATATCAGTTTCACATCAGTGACTAAGTTTCATATGATACCTGCTATATATAGATGAATTGCACTTAGAATTAGCTGTAGAATTAGATTTAAAATTTAGAATAATAGCTCTGTACAATGCAGGAAATATTATAATGTGGTGTTTCAGATAAAACTGAACAGAAGACAGAGGAATTAAGGACAAATATAGAGGTGAGTAAAACAGATTCAGTTGCAATAGGCTAATTTAAGAGTGTAAATAAAAGTAATTTCTTGTTCCTGTTTCCATGCACATCATTCCCTTTCCCCCCTACAGTCTGAAGAGTGAAACAGAATGGGATGTGGGATCACTAAATCTAATGCACAAGAGCTGAAGAAATGCCAGAGAGGTTTTCTTCATATTCTCTTATCAGTGCCACAAATAATGTAGTATTATGCTATTACTTATGTATCAAACCACAAACTAAGTTTTAGTTACATACTGATCTCATGTTAATTCATCATGAATGAATCGTGATGCATGTTTTATCTCAAGCAGTTACTATATTTGTTACTATATCTGTTAATTCTGTAAACCGTGAAATACTGATCTCATGTTAGTTTGTTCATGATTTGTACTTCAGTAGTAACTGAGTTATTGCTATTTGTGCCCCGTCAGGTAAAGTGCTACCAAACAGATTTTAATAGTTTGATAATATACTTAAAATAAATTTTAAAATCTAGTTTTTTAAAAGTAGAAGTATATATTGAATTTTAAGAAAAACAAATCCATTATTCAATACCCATATAGTCTAACTTCTGCAATAATGTCTGTTTTTTGCAAACTTTAGGAAGCCTCGGCGTCCCAGGTAAAATTTCATTCTACACGATGCATATGATCAAAGCCTTTTGGTTCCCTTGGTCCTAGGCGGGACCCCAGGCGGCCGCCTATATCGCCTGATGCTGCACTAGATAGCTTTTCATTTGTTAATGATGTTATCATATTGATGTGTTTTAACATTATCACATTATTGTTATTGATAAGTTTTTATTTTGACAATTCAAGGAAATTAGAGATAAAATTGAAATCTTTTTTTTTTCCTCGTTCTGCACCTTCTTTTTTAGCCGCTACAGGTACGTTTATTCATAATTGAATTAAAATTTCTTTTATCGGCACTTAGGTGTGCATGTATGAGTAAATGGCGTGTGAGTGAGCCTTGTGATGGGTTGGCGCCCCATCCTGGGTTGTTCCCTGCCTTGTGCTCATAGAGATATAGAGAATGGATGAGGATGGAATTACTTTTATAGGTTATAGTTTGTGTTATTGGGAAGCTTTTATCGATTCAGTAATATGTATTTTTTTCTTCAGTCTTTATCTTGATAAACCTTCTTCTGGGAACTATCAAAACCAGCTGCTTGAGCTACGGTGATCATAGAGTTTTCTTCCCCTAAGCAATAGGAGCCGCTCTGCTTATCCAGCGATGGTACCGCCAATATGTGGCCCGTATGGAGATGAGACAGAGATGTACATGGAACATTTTCCAGTCTATAGAATACGCAGGGGAGCTAGACCAGATCAAGGTACGATCTGGACCTTCAAAATTACAAAAGTACAAAATTAAATTAGGCATATTGAAGTAGAACACTGTGCACTTTGGTTTTTGCGCCTGCAATCACTTCACCCTACTTTCATCTCGTCATTTCTGTATGATAATATACTATTGATCAACATTTCTCTGTTCCTTTGCAATCCAGAATCTGTACACTATATGTATGCCCTTTACAGCTATACAACTTCTTTGGTTACCTCATGGATCACTTTACACCAGCTAGCAGTGAAAGTAAGCTATTTTTTTGTATTGTCCACCAGCTTTATGTTTTCCTGTCTCCCAAGGTGATCGGGCTGTGCTGTTTGTCCCACTGCAGGAAACTTGATCTCCCACATCTTCAGGGAAAATGAAATGTGTCATGACACAGAATTGGAGATATACTTTTGCTATAAGAACATGGAAGTATCTAAGCTGTACTCTGGACCCCACCTCAGCTTCCCGCTCACTGTCACTGGTGCAGCTGAGTTAGTTGAAGCATTCAGGAACAAACAGGTAGGTATTTCTATCCACTGTGACCTATTTGAGGGGGGGAGGGGTAGGGGTCTATTAATGAGTATAATGATGTAATTTGTTTTAAAATGCAGTGGAAACCGCTTATAGTGATCTTGTTTATAGTGATCAACCGCTTATATAGATCAAAAAGCTTGAGACAGAATCATTCCTGTACAAACACTGTTTAAATAGTTCATTTATAGTAAACAAGTAGGCCGCTTACAGTGTTCATTCTGGGTCCATACATCATATGTAAAAAAACGGTGGTATTTTTTTTTGTTTTGTTTTTTACTTTGATCACCCTACTTTGCTGAGCGATAACCTGTCTGCTTCTGATTAGCTACCTGAGGCTAATGCTTCATGCACAGAAAACATGAGAGGAAAGTCATTTTCTCTCAATGACAAATACAGACTCATCAAAGTTTATGACAAACCACAGAAAACGAGCCACGGAGATGCAGCAGTGAAACTACAATAAGTGCTTTGAGACAATGTAACATTGTGAAAACTGAGTTGAATTTAATTATGTACAGTACTGTACTGTATTATAGAGTATTTGAATTATACACAGTTCAGTAATTTAATTTGTACAGTACTGTACTTTGAAAAGCATTTGAAACAGCTGTACTTTATTTTGAAATCATCAATAAAATTAAGCAAATAGAGACGCTGTCCATTTTATTACCTTATATTCATGTAATAAGTATACAAATGTCAATTAGAGGTTCAAAACAAGACACAGCATTTTACTCCACTAGTAATGTTAAACCGACCCCTGTAAGGAGCAGCGAGGCAGTCAGAGGGGAAAAACACATAAAACATTATTATTACTAGTGTTACGCCCTACAACAAAAAATATTATTGTATGACTTATTTATTAAAATTAGATTTGAATTTGCAGTCCATTCAGTTTGTCATCATTTCCATGTTCTGTTTAAGAAGAATCCTAAGGGAATTTTAAGCATAAATAGAGCCTCAAAGTAAAGAAATTATGAATTATTATTGAAAATAATGATTCATGAATTGTATTGTGATAATTATCCATATCGACTGATATGATTTTTCTTATCTCGATAACATTTTTGGTCATATTGCCCAGCCCTACAGTAATGTTTGTTTAGTAACCATCGTGGCTGTTATTGAACTGTACAGTATTCTTATCCATTGAATACTGACTCTCCAAAACCAAATTTCCATAGTTTTTCAAATAAAATTTTCCAGTTTACTATATCAAATGCTTTTCTGCATCTAACAATACAATTATTGTTTCCATTTTTTTTTTGTTTTGGTGCATTAATTAAGTTGAGTAATCTGTGCATGTTATTTGATGAGTGTCTTCCTTTGATGAAACCAGTTTGATCTAAATGTATTAATGAACAGTTATCAGTACCCAGATGGTTGGCTAGGCCCTTACTAATAATGTAGAGCTCTGTGTTGATGAGTGATTGGGGGCGGTAACTGGAGCAGAGAGGAGGGTCTTAATTGGGTTTCAGTAATACTGTAATGAGTGCTGTGTTCATGTGTTGTGGGATTATTGATTTGTGTTTAATATCAAGTTCATTTCTGAGAAATAGCGGCAAGATTGTGTTCCAAAAATGCTTATAGTACTCAGCAGACATCAAGTCCTATAGCTTTATGTTTTGGCATTGTACTGAGTGCTGTGTAGAGTACCTTCTATGTTAATGGTTTGTCCATTTCATCTGATTATTCCTTATTAAGTTGGAGTAACTCTGTATTACTTAAGGAGGAATCATTATGTATTGGACTAGGTTCCTTTTCAGGGGTATACAATCTACTGTAAAATTCCTGGAATACATCATTGATTTCTTTGGGTGATTGCATAGCCTTCCCTGCTGTGTTCCTTATGACTGGTATAATTGATTTTTCTTTGTTTCTCTTGACTTGATTTGCCAGATACTTTCCTGATTTGCTATTGTGTTGAAAATGATCATGTCGTAATCTTTGTATCAGAAATTGGGTTTTATTGTTTATATTGTTAAGCTGTGATTTATTTTCTCTCGATTACTTCTAGACTTGCTCTGTGGGTTTTGTGGCATATAAGTCATTCAGTTCTTTGATTTTTTTTTTTGTCCAAGAGTTTGTTCAAGGTCCTGTTCCTTTTTTGTACAGATGCTCCTCTACTTGCGAACGAGTTATGTTCCGAACGGCCGTTTGTAACTTGAAATGTTCATAAGTAGTTTTTCAACATCATTTTAAGGGTATACACAAGTACAAAGAACTAGGATGCTGGGAGTTCGCACGCTACGCTGCTGCGCGGCGGGAGTAGCGGCCAGAAGTCGTACTAGGCGGAATTGGCGCGCAGAAAAAGAAATCGATGTTGTGGACATGAAACGGGAGCCCAAGGAACACAATTAGGTCTTACAATCCTCTTCGTTTGTATGTCTGAAAGTCTGTAAGTTGAACGTTCGTAAGTAGAGGAATGTCTGTATATTGATTTTTTGTATTTTTTTACATCTTAACACCACTTTTGCTGTTTCCCAGAGTAATATGGATGAGATTCCCGGAGAGTCATTTATTTCCACAAAGGACGCCCACTCTTTTTTTAAAGAATGCGTTGAAATTATTCTGTGTTGAATTATTGTGATGGTTTTATTATGGTTAATAATTTTTAGTGGTAGGAAGTAAAACAAGCTTAGGATATTTGACGTTTTATTTGTTCATTTGTGTTTTACTTGATTTTCACTGTTTTTCCTAATAGCATCTCCATACACGATACGTTCTTCAGCTTCTTCTGGAAACTTGGAAACTACTAAGATTATTGCCAAATATAAATTATGTCTCCACCTGCCAAAGCAAGGAAATCACCGTCTGTGGTAATGACACCACTTACATTACATTGCTTATTATTAAAAACAGGTCAATGTCAAACTGTAGGAAACTTTTAAAATGTCTCGATATTTTTTATTTAGGTAAACAGCCAAAATACGGGACAATATGGCGTATGGATAAAAGAAAATGTTAATGTGTGCTGTTTATTTTAAAATAATTTCAGGCGACTTACATGGGCATCTGGAGGACCTGCTGCTCATTTTTTATAAGGTATGGATACAAATGCAAAAAATAATCACTGTGAATTACGGAATAAGGAAGATTGTGTTTTTGACCTATATTACTGTGATTATGCTGATCCAGTTTACCAGGCAGCCAAATATTGTTTTTGACCTATATTACTGTGACTATGCTGATCCAGTTTACCAGGCAGCCAAATATTGTCACATAGCCATATGTATCCCTTATGTTTGTACATTTTGATATTGGGAATGGAAGTTGTCATAGTTTTCATTTGTATGGTTTTATAATGTTCAATTTATTTGTTAGGAGTTCTATGTAAAAGTTTAAATTAAATTATCTATTAAGTTTGAGGTGGTTTTTACCCTTGAAGACATTCCAACTATTTGCCACTGCTATGTTTCTGGATGGGTTTGTGCAATAGTACTGGAGAGTTGTAATGGATATAGCAGGGGTCTCCAACTCCAGTCCTGGAGAGCTACTATCCAGTAGGTTTTCTGTCCCACTTGGGTTCTGATGAGCTACACCTGCTCCTGGTATTTACCTGAGAACAGGTGTGGCTCATTAGAAGCCGGGTATCATAGAAAACCTACTGGTTAGTAGCTCTCCAGGACTGTAGTTGGAGACCCCTGGCATATAGTAATGTAGGAAAAATTTCATTCCCATAATTTTAAAATGTTAATTATGAAATCAAGTTTGGGGAGATTGTTCTGAATTACAGAGAAATTGGGGTGTAACTGGAACCAAGCTGAAGAACTATTTTTGTCTCTTTTGTTTTCTGGATAAGAGTCGGGGAGTCACTTTTAGCAGTCGTCTAATTTGTATTTTTTTCCAAAAACAAATAATTCTTTTTTTAAAAAAAAGTTTGACGTTTTCACGTTTGAAAAGTATTTATTTAACCTCTGTGTATGTCTTTGCCTAACCCTGTACAGAATGGCTTCCCATCGTTGGAGAAGCCTTATGTTTTTAATGGTGACTTTGTGGACCGTGGCAAGCACTCCATTGAGGTTCTTCTTATCATTTTTGCATTCATGCTGGTGTATCCAAATAATGTACATCTCAACAGAGGAAATCATGAGGACCACATTGTGAATCTGAGGTACGATATACTTGAAACTCAAAATTTCATTATTTAAATGCAATGCAAAAGGTAAATTAATTTAAAAAAAATCTTTTTAATTTTTATAGGTATGGCTTCACCAAGGAAGTGTTGGGAAAATATATGGTATGTCTTTTTGCATAGTGTTTGAAAGCAGATTTAAGTAGAATATATTTAGGGTGATTTGGTACATTTCCTTTGGTAACTGTATTTTCACATACCACTTTGTATAATTGTTCATATGTCTATGTAGTCAGTTAGTGACTCAATCTAGATTAGTAAAGAAAATGTACTTAATTAAATACCTATCCAATAAATTCTTAGAGCCACTGACTTTATTGCATAAAGTTTAAATAGGGAGTGAAGTAGAGAATTTAATTCCATGAACTTCATGATTACAGATTTTGTCCTTGATTTCTATGGAATATTACAGGTCAGTAGACCTGAAAGTAATAATTGTTTTATCCCAATATTAAGAGGAAAAATCAGTGATTTTGTTGTACATTTGTAGGAGGATTATAAGGATAATATTCTGCATTGCCTTTAAAGACCACATTCATGCTAAAAATATATAACATAATTGATTATAAAGTACTATGGAACTCGGTTTTGCACAAAATATTAACAATAGTAACTATTTCCATTTAAGAAGCCATTGTTACTCCATAGCTCCATGGCAAGAAGATACTGAAACTGCTTCAGAAGATCTTCAGCTGGTTACCGCTAGCAACTGTGGTTGATCAAAAAGTCTTGATTGTGCATGGAGGGATCTCTGATACCACTGACCTCAGTCTTATTGCCAAACTGGACCGACAGAAAGTATGTAGCTGTTTTCTTAACATGATTATCTTTAATTTTTAAATTCTGAATCATTGTGTCTATTTTAACTTAAATTTTAAAAAGTCTTATCTATAAACAAATATGAACGTCTTCAAAAGTATTGGATCTGTACATATAGGGTTTGAAGAGTACTTATATCATTAGTAAACACCTATTAAAGACTGACTTAATCATTTGAAAGTTTACTCTGTAGAAGTCTATGTTTTTATTTACTATTTATGATGCATACTGGTCCTGCAAACCCAGTACATATATTGAAGCAAAATTATGATTGAATATTTTAATTTCCTTGTAAGTTTTTTGTTAATAAAGCATCGTTCATCTAAGTTTGCCTCCCTCCTCTGACCAGTCTGACCACAAGTGGATCATAGAATTATCTGTAGGGGCTGGAAGGTCATAGTTTGTGTGTCATAGTTTATTAAGTCCATCCTGGCTTGCTTCCTTCTTATTTACAACAATCAAAAAGTAATATTTGATTGGTTGGCATTTGCTGGGCCATTGGGTGGGCTGAGATTATGATTGGGTGGGCCAGATCTAACCAGACCACTGTGGAGTTATATAATAGGTTCCATAATTGATTGAAGCTCTTAATGAAATGGAAAGTCATCTATTGTAACCAAATGGTGAAGGATCAGTCACAAGTTGCAATAACTTTGTTGTTCTAGTCTTGTAGAGCTCTGTATGATATATTTGATCTTTGCTTGTTTACTGAAATACATAGTCCTGTCTCAGTATGTCTCAATGTTCAGACCTCCCGAGAAGAATCCGCCCTCTAGTGGAAACCTGTTTTTGGACATCAAGCCCCACGCCAGGATGGGCACTAGCTTGAAGAGTCACTGCACCCTGACCTACAGTGCTCCAGTCAGCTCCCATCAGAACCTCCGTTGCAGCTCTCCGCAGGATCCCTCCAGTGAAGTAAATCACTTAGTGGAGGATAAGCTGAAGGAACAAAGTTGTACAGCTGGACTAAACCCATCCTGTAAGGACATCCACAATACACTTTCTTCTGACTCCAAGACTTCTGGGACAGATAATGACAATGACAATGAATGGAAACAGGTAATAATGCTTCATAATGATTCCGTGCCTGTCAACACTTAATAATCAAAGATTGTAATATACTTGTGTTCTGTAACCGTGATGCAGATTGATGACGTGCTGTGGAGTGATCCAATGTCCCAAACTGGCTGCATTCCCAACAAGATTCGAGGAGGTGGATGTTACTGGGGTCCAGATGTAACAGAGAAGGTCCTGAGCAGACATAATTTGCAGCTCCTTATCCGGTCCCATGAGTGCAAGCAGGAGGGTTATGCGTTTTGCCACAATCGCAAGGTGAGGAATTGATAGAAAGACTGTTGCTTTCAGTTCTTTAGCCAGGTCAGATATGATATTTGACAAAGAGAAAGTTGTACTGAATAAGTGAGAATTATAATCTTCTAATCCCCTTTAGATATGGGCACCTAAACCCATATGTCACGTGACTTTAATCAGCGACTATTACTATCATTTTATTAAAGTATATATAAATTCATCCGATATTCAGCTAGTGTAAACATGCACGATGCTATCACTGCGAATGTGAGGCTGAGACTGAAGCGTTACCCTTTGTTTCCGCTGAGAGACCTGCCGCGTGACTCATTTCCCTGCGCCTACAAGTTATCTTAGGTTGGAGTTCACGGAGTGAATTCTGAGATTCAGATCGAGCTCTAGGTAATTTTTTTTCAAACTGGTTGGTTCGACTTTTAAGAAATTCGAGTTCTAATGAGTTTGAGAACTGAGGTACCACTGTACACTTATTTATGGTGGTCGACAGCACACAGATCAGAAGATGTCTATGCTATCTTTTGTCTATGCTGAGCTGGTATCCCCTAATTTGTTTTTCAAAAGGGTGTGTTTTATAAGAAATCGGGTAACTGATCATTACAAACATTTATATATACTTAACAATGGGTAGTGATTTTAGTCATTTTTTCCAAAACACCTAAATTAGGTTATATAGGCTAATTAGTTAGTAATTTCAATGCATTCTTCAGAAGCAATTTTACTATACATGTTTCTGAGTAGATGAGCATATTCATAGGTTTAGGAAAAACGAGTGATAGGTTTCAATAGCTGCATGTTGTAATTTTTATGATTTAGTTTTATTAACTAATTAGCTTTATAATTGTAGAAATAGCACTCATACTGTAGGACATCTACCCTGACAATAGCATTTCCCTACTTTTCACAATTCACAATTTTAAAAACCATTTTCAATAAACCAAAAGTATATTTTATCTTTTAAATGTAAGTTGCTGATTATTAATAATAAAGTCTATTACTGATTTTTAGGTAAAAGTGTTCATTTCACTGCTTATTCATTTTTCATAGGTCCTGACCATTTTTTCCGCATCAAACTATTATGAAGTGGGCAGTAACAGAGGAGTCTACCTCAGACTAGGTCCGGATTTGGTACCGCATTTCAATCAATACCAGGCAAACCGTGCAACCCGAGAGCTTACCCTCAGACAAAGGTAAAGATTAACATGCTATACATTGTACAGTACCCTGTCCAGAGAATTCTTATTTATTGCATTTGAAAAGCTTCTAAAAATGTAGGTTTAAACCTGTAATATATCAGCTGTACATTTGAAGTAGAGCCAAATGTGCTTTAAAGTTTCAAGAGTGTGACTTTAAATGTCTAACTTAAATTTTAAAATGTTTTACTTGTAAATGAATTTGAATGTCTTTAAAAGTATCAGGTTTTGAACAGTTTCTAAATCATTAGTAAACACCAATTAAACACTGATTTAATAATCTTGTGAAGCTTTATCCATATTAACATTATTAATTTATCGAAGTCAATTAAAAAAATTATAGCAAATATAATCAACTGCATTTATCTCTTTACTTTTGAGATTCACTGTTTGTTGTCTTTCAATATACTTCAGCGCAGTGTTTCTCAATCCAGTCCTTGGGTGCCCACAGCCAGTCCATGTTTTTGCTCCCTCTCAGCTCCCTAGGAAGCAAAAATGTGGACTATCTGGCAGGGAGCTGGGATGGAGCAGAAACGTGCACTGTCTGTGTGTCCCCAAGGACCGGATTGGGAAACATTGCTTTAGCATGTTGTAGTCAAGGTGAAATAGAACATTTTCGTCACATTGCATTTGCAGTGTGAGCCACATGGAGCGCTCAGCCCTAAGAGCCCTGAGGGAGCTGCTCTTTGCCCACAAGTCAGACCTCATTAGAGCCTTCCAAGAATACGACAGTGGCAACACAGGTATTTGAGCTGCTAACTTAGGCAGTCAAATATAGCCTCCAAAATCAACTAACAAAATGTTCGCAAAGATTTGGTGTTCTCTGGTTAATTACCCATGGGCTATACACTTTTTATTTATACAGCCTCTGTTTGATTTAACCTGTATAATGTGCCTTTGAATGAACCAGTATCAAATTAATATCTCTGCCTAAATATTGTGTTACCATCAGTTTACCAAAGTCTGTTTAACATTGCTGTTCTTGTACATTTTGTTCTCCTAAATTACATCATAACACTGCACTGCTATCCTTACAAATAGGGGTTGCTGTGTAACTACTTGAATTCTTCATCATCTGTCACCTTTCTTCTAAAGTCCGACTAATATCCTAATTGTATAGCCTCGCTCAAACAATCAAAATTGATAACTGCATACATGCTTTTTAAGATAACCATCTATTTCATTGGACACATAGTCCACTTCACACAGTAGTTACAGTGTTGGTGGCATGATGGAGGGACACCGCAACAATCAGCATCAGCTGGTAAATTTTCCATGACTGCATTTAAATAACTACTGGATTAGAATTGATCTGACCTCTGGTTTTAAGGCAGAAAGGTTCCATATTTGATGCACAGGGGCAAAGAAACCAAATATAATTCTTTTTTCATTGTGATGATGTGATGATGGTATGCTGATTAATCCAATTAGGATTAGGCAATGAGATTCAACAAGCAAACTTTACTGAATAACATTGCTTTAATTTTGGGGTACACTGCACTTCTGGACCGATATACAGTGGTACCTCGGTTCTCGAACTCACTAGAACTAGAATTTCTTGAAAGTCGAACAAACCAGTTTGACCTAGAACTCGATCTGAATATCAGAAGTCGAACCGTGAACCCTGACCTAATATAAATTGTACGCGCCAGGAAATGAGTCATACTACAATGCAATTCTTACTTGAATGCCTTCTTCACAGACTAGACGATTAACCAAATAAAGCAACGCAACATTAGAGTAACTAACAATAAATAAACCACTAACTTACGTGTACTATTAGAGCATTTATGTCATT